TAAATACTTTGGGATATACTAAAAAGGCAGAATATTATATTTCCCCCTGTTGGAAGCTGATACCCACCCCTCTCCAAGGAAAATGAAATATTTTGGGGTATACTAAAAAAAAAAAAAAAAGGCAGAATATTTCCCCTAAAAAGAAAAGCAGAGAGGCACAAACTCACCTCAGAAGCAGAAACTCAGCCCCCCTCCACCCCCAACCTTCGCTAATGGACCGTTACTCTGGCCTGGGCCAGCCTATTCTACATAACAAAGACCTACTCCAGGTGGAGCCCTAATAGGAATTGCCCAAAGCCTTTTTCATGACATCATCATCCAGCAAAGGCGCAACCAAGCCCGGGACTCAGGACAGCCTATCGAGTTGCCCCTGCGTGGCCCCATGGGAGCCTGACAACCAATCAGAAGACAAGCTCCAATTCAAATCCCAACCGAGGGCATAAAACCCAGGCGCTCTCGGCATTTCTGCCCCCCTTTTTTTTTCCACCCAGGAGCACCAAGCCATGGGGTCCTGCTGTCCACCATTAAACCATGTTTCCAAACAGCCTCCATTGTTTTCAGGGTCTTTCTCCCCAATTGGAACTGAATCCAGATGGACATTTCTTCCAACAAGGCCAAAAGACCTCCAGCTCCAAGATGGTGGGATTCAGACGTGACCCTCCAGATTGGATTCTCTAGCAAGCAGGGCTCACTGCATTGCACAACATTCCTAAGGACCTTCCATCGGCAAACTTCAACCAAACCTACCTCAGACAAACTTGACCCTCACGTGGCCCCGTGGGAATCTGACGATCGAATACTTGTTCTTGAGCAGGAACAGGAAGTTTAAGTGCAAAGCTCAAGAGAAGGTATAAATACACCCCCCCACACACACACACTCTCAGCTGCAGCAGAACCATGGGCTTGGTGGTTCTGCTTCATCAATAAATGGACTCTTTTTGCAATCAGCCTCCAGCCTCCATTTTGTCTCCAGTGCCTTTCTCTCAGCTTGGAACTGAACCGGATGGATATTTCTTTCAACAGCCCAGTTGGGAGACAGGTAGATCCTCCTGGAGAAAGATCTATCCATGTAGTAATCTCATTAATTTAGGGATCTTCAAAGATGGCCACTTTAAAACTTGTGGACTTCAACTCCCAGAATTCTTCCCAGAATTAATAGATAAGCTAGGATAGACCTATGGCGGATTGTTTTTCACCCATGGTAACTGCAACAAGATTATTATGCAAAGATGGAAAAAAACCACTGTCATTTATCCACAATGGGGAATAATTGGAGAAAAGGGCAAAATTCGAATAGATGGCAAAATGGACTTACTTGATTCGGGAAAATAACTCCATTTGCAAATGACCGGAAAACCTTCACGGACTTTTTGCTGAAAAAAAAAAATATTGTGATTTATGCATTGAGTGATTAGAAAGTGTAGAGAGCATGATATTCCTATACAGAGCCCTGGTATCCCTATAAAGGGAGTGCTCAACTTACAACAGTTCGTTTAATGACCGTGCAAAGTAACAGCGGTACTGAAAAAAAGTGACTTATGGGGTTTTTTCTCCCCCCACTCACAATTATGACCTCTGCAGCTTCTCCACAATCATGGGAATCAGAATTCAGAAGCTTGGTAACCGATTTGTATTTATGGAAACAAATCGACCCAAAACTAGAAGGAAATTTCCTGGCAGAGGTAACAATTAACCAGTGGAACAGCTTGCCACTAGAAGTTGTCGGTTATCCATCCCTGGAGGTTTTCAAGAAGAGACTGGACAGCCGTTTGTGTGACACGATACCGGATCTTCTGCTCAAGCGGGGGTTGGACTAGAAGACCTCTGATATCCCTCCCAGCTCGGTTACTCTGTAATATATGCTATAATAATATATTAGTTTTATAGTATTGTTTATTTATTGATCACATTTTAAAACCACCCATCTCTCTCAAAGAGGAACTCCAGACGGAATAAAAAATAAAATATCAAAAACTCCAAACAAACAAAAAAATGGTACAATTTGAAATAGAGGCGAGGATGGTTCAAAGTCAACATTCCATAGCAATTCAAGTGAATTTTTTCCTCCCAGGAAATCGGTATTACTCTTCACAGGACAGCCTTCCTGGAGTCTGCAGTCCAGAGCGTTGGACTACACAGTGCACAGCCCTGCACATCTGGAAGATATAATTCGTCTAATCACACGCCCTGATTTTTTTAGGGTGATTTTTTTTTTTAGGGGACGTGCATGTTCAGAAGCGTGAGATTTTGGAAGAAATTCTTGCTTTTCTTGTCGAAAAGTGGGCCGCTCCCTTCCTTTGACCCGAGTTGCAATTTGTTCTCAAAAGTCCCTTCCTTCAATTTCTTCCTCTTTATCGTGACCGTTCCTTGTTTCTATTCAAGTTAAGTTTCGTTTTCATGTATTTTTATTATTTTTGGTATCTCCTGGCTCGAGCAAAACTGCTTCTCCCTGTAATTGCTTCTTCCCTTATGGGCAACCTCTGCTGGCAGATGCTTGTGGTTTTAGTTCTGTCCAATAATCCTAATTCCTCCCACAGACACACAAGGAAGTCTGTGTTTTTTTTCCCTTTTGCAAAGCTGCAGCCAAATTCAAGACCTTCCGTGCTGGGAGAGGCCTAAAACTCTTTAGCGAAACGGAGGCTTGAGAATTCCTTTCCAGCACAAGAGGCAAAAATGGACTCTTAATAATATTTAATACATCTTTTTTTTTTAATGTATGCACCGAGCTGAAACATTTTTTGTATTCTGTCTTTCCAGGAAATGCCCGTGCTAAGTTTCAAAATTCAGGGTTTAACGACCACCGAGGAGAACAAGTTTTGGGCTGCTTTAAACAAGTTTTTGGTAAATTGAGTTTTATTATCCCAGTTGCTAAACGAGTTTTATCCCAATTTATGACCTCTTTTGCCACAGTTAAGTGAATTGCTTCAGTGATTAAGTTAGCAGCACGATTGTTAAACGAATCTGGCTTCCCCATAGACTCTAATTTACAGGTTAAGAGTTGGAAGCAGGAGACCTTGCAAATGGCAGTGCAATCTCTTCTTGAAAGTCTCAAGGGACACCGCAACTGTCATAAACATGAGTCAGTTGCCAAGTGGCTGAATTTTGATCACGTGCCCGTGGGGATGCTACCATTCTCCTTTCCTTTCATCAGACTATACTTTTAATTTAATGCTAATGGCAGATGTGTAACGGGTTAAATACCAAGAAAAATTCCCTTTCTGCTTCCCCCGCTTTCTATAGTGTAGTGAAAAGTTTCGTGGTCTCTTTTGAAGAATTTCAGAATAACCAAGCATTCTCAGCAATTAAATCTCAATTCCTGTTCCTGTGAAACTTCCTTTCTGCCAAGCACATCTGGAACTGTAGCCAAAGGACAAATTTTGCTAACCCTGAAAAATCATCTATCTCAAACCTATTATGACCCAAGACTGAGAAACAGAAGAAAATTCATTGCAGGTAGTCCTTGAATTAAAATAGCTCATTTAGTGACCATTCAAAGTTACAATGGCACTGAAAAAAAATTGAAGACAAACCGTTTCCATAACTCAGGAGTAAAAATTACTCATATAATCCACTAGAGGTCCCCCCCAAAAATTGATCTTTCGTACTGTATCAAGACTGAGTTAAATGACACGCACTAGGGGGATAATTGACGTCACTACAAATTGTTTATTTTGTGAGGTTTATGTGAATTCTGTCGCTCCCAGGGGATTTTTAGCCACACTGCAGTATTTAGAGGAAAAAGAAACAGGAATTTTCTCTCAGGGTGGAGAAAAACAAGGAATGTAATCTAAAAGATCTTTACAGGAGACTAGATCATAGATTTCTAGGACTGGAAGGGGCCCCAGAGGTCTTCTAGTCCGGGGGTCGCCAATCTTTTGGACCTCCGGGACCCCCAAAGTCATAATTTTAAATCCCGCGGACCAGAGACCCTGGAAAAATCCTCAAAAAAAAGTCTGCGGGAAAATTCCCCACCCCGTTTTCCTACCGATCGATCGTTCTTTATTTGGGATCGCAGGATACCATCTCCAGCTCTGTTCTCAGAGGGAGAGAGAGAGAGAGAGAGAAAGAGAGAGAGAGAGAGAGAGAGAGACTTTTGGCTTCATGCAAGGAAAGCAGCAGAAGCTGCAGAAGTCTTTCTTTCTCTCCCCAAAACTCTGCCAGAAATGAGTTTTTGCCGGCACAGCCTCTTGGAGCGTGACACCTTGCAGAGTCCCAAAGAGATTTCCTTGAGAAAAAAAACAGAAAACCAAAATTGCTCCTTCTCGGTGTCAATATCCAATCGCGGGGCAGGGAAAGGGCTTCTCCAGCCTGTTGGGAATTTCAGACCTGTAGAAAAGGGAGCCCCCACCCCTCAAGAACGAGCCAAGACCATAGTGGGTGTGCATTCTGGGCTCCGTAGTCCTTACTTGCACTCAAGGGTTGGAGAAGCATTGAAGCATTTCAATATGTATTTTTTTTAATGTTTGTTTTAATGCAAAACAAATGGAAGATGGATTGTTTGCATTTAAGCACAAATTTATTTTTTATAATTTTATAAAATTTATAAAATTTATAAATGTATAAATTTATGCATTCAGGAAAGGCTGATCGGTCAGGAAGCTAAGAATGACCAAAAAAAAAAAAATCCAAATCCAGCCAAATTTGGCCAAAGACTCTCCCTGTTGAACTTCGGCCCGCCCTCGCGCCACCAAAGATGGCCGAAGAGGCGCGGCTTCAACTTCCCTCCTAGGGAATTCTGGGAGTTGAAGTCCCCGCCTCTACAAATCTGGCCGACGTGGTGGGCGGGAGGGGAAAAAAACCGCTCGCACCTAAGGTGACCCGGCCCGCACCCGTGCGCATGCGTGGAGAGCCGCTTTTAAACCTCCCCCCCACCAAGTCCGCCCTTCCCGCCTCTCAGCCTGTGAGCTCACTTCCGGCGAGCGCGTGCAGCCGACCGGAGGCTTTTGGGAGAGGGGAAACATCCGCCGCCCCAACCGGAAGTCCCTCCGCCGCGGCCTTCCCCTTTTCGGCCCTGGAACCGGCGAAGCGTGCCGTCGTGAGGGGAGGCGGGAGGCCACGCTCGGGGCTCCAGTCGTCTCGCGCCCCCCCCTCCCCACCCCACGTCGTCTCCTCAACCGGGCCTCGGAGGCCTGAGTCGCGCCAAGGCCGGAACTCGGGCGCGCGGGGCGTGGTTTCCGGAGGGAGCGCCTTCCGGGTGGCTCCGGCGCGCTTCCGTCTCCTCCCGCAGCAGCAGCAGCGGCGGCGGCGGCGGTGGCTCGCTTCCTTCCCGCTAACAGACTCGGCGATGGCCGCGGAGGCTTGAGGGCCAGGAGGCGGCGGCGGCGGCAGCGGCATGGATCCTGTCGGGCCCGGCGGGGGCGCCGGCGGGAAGCCGAGCTTGCAGATGGTCTACCAGGCCGTGCAGGCGCTCTACCACGACCCGGACCCCAGCGGCAAGGAGCGCGCCAGCCTCTGGCTCGGGGAGCTGCAGCGCTCGGTGAGGGAGGCCCAAGCAGCCTCGGGGGCCCCGGGGAGGGGAAGGGAGCGGGAAGCGCGGCCCGAGTTGCCTCCGCCCCGGGGGGGAGGGGAGAAGGGAGGGGCTCGCCTCTTGCCAAGGGCCCCTCTTGTGGGATAGGGGGCTTCTCTCCCCCAGAGGGCCGGGGTGGGTGGCCGGGTGGGGGGCGGTCGCCTTCTCCCCTTCCTCTAAGGAGGGGAGGGGAGAAGAGAAGAGAAGGACGGGGGTCTCCCCCTCTGGTTAAATGGGGAGGGAGGCTGGGGTCTCTTTGCAACAGGCGGGGCCCTCCAATCCAGATCCCTTCAGAGAGGGGCTCATTTTGAGGTAGGGGGCTTCCCTCCCCAAGAGGATCAGGCTGGGGGGGGTCGCCTGTTGCAACGGGAACCCAGGCCTGTCCCCCCCTCCTCTAGTTAAAAGGGGAGGAGGAGGGTCCCTTTGCAAATTCTTGATCCCTGTCGTTGAAGGAGGGGAGGGGAGAAATACGAGGGTCTCCCCTCCTCTGGTTAAATGAGGAGGGGGCCTTTGCAACAGGCGAGCTCCTCCATTCCCCATCCCAATCTCCCCACTTTCAGAAGGGGCTTCCTTTTTGGGGTGGGGGCTTCTCCCCCAGAGGATCTGGGTGGCTGAGGGCGGGGGGTCTCCTGTTGCAACGGGACCCCAGGCCTCCTCTTTCTCCCCTTCCTCATTTGGGGAGGGGAGAAAGATGAGGGCCTCCCCTCCCCTGGTTAAATGGGGAGGAGGAGGGTCACTAGGGCCCCTTTGCAAAAGGTGACCCCCTTGCATTCTTGATCCCCTCCTCCTCCTTTCAGAGGGGCCTCCTTTGGGGGGCTTCTCTAGAGGATGTGGGGGGGTGGGAGCGGGTTGCCTTCTTCTCCCCTTCCTCATTTAAGGAGTGGAGGGGAGACCCTCATCCATGTTTAAATGAGGGGGCGCTGGAGGGCTTTTGGGGTCGGTGGATGGGATGACCTATTGCAAAGCGATCCCGGCCTCCTCCCCTTCCCCTTCCTCATTTAAGGGGAGAAGGATGAGGGTCTCCCCCTCCCCTGGTTAAATGAGGAGGGGGCCTGGGGTCCCTTTGCAACAGGCGACTCCTCCACTCACCCACCCCGATCCTCTAGGCAAGAGAAGCCCCCACCCCAAAAGGAGGGAGCGGGGAGGATGGGGAATAGAGGGGCTCGCCTTTTGCAAAAGGACCCCTATTTGACCAGGGGAGGGGAGGCCCTCCTCCTTCTCCCCTCCCCTCCTTAAATGTAGAAGGGGAGAAGGAAGAGGCCTGGGGTCCCTTTGCAACAGACAACTCTCTCCATTCCCCCATCCTGCGCCCCCTTTCAGAGGGGGCCTCCTTTTGGGGTGGGGGCTTCTCTTGCCTAGCAGATTGGGGTGAGTGGGTGGGATGGGCCCCTGAGCCCCCCCTTCTCCCTCCTCTCCGTATTTAAATAGGGGAAGGTCTCTCCTGACCTAGTAAAATGCAGAGGGGGAGACCTGGGATCCATTTGCAATAGGGATACCCCAAAAGGAAACCCCCCCTCTGATGGGGGGGCGTCTCCTGTTGCAAAGGCCTCCATCCCCTCCTCCTCCCCTCCCCTCCCCTCCTCAAAGGCTGAGAATGTGGACTCCAGTCCCTTTGCAAATAAGCGACCCCCCCTCTGTCCCCCATCTCGCTGGCCCCCCACTCAATCCCCTTGGGGGGGGAAATCCTCACCCCAAAAGGAAGCCCCCCCCGAAAGGGGCTCACCCCACAAGAGTGGGTAAAGGGAGAGGCCCGCCTGGCCATCTCCCCCCACCACTCCAGAGTTTCTCTGGTAAGCACGGGGGGGGGGGGAGGGAATAAGAGGGGGGTGTCTCTCGCCTTGGCACTCCAAATCGTCCCTCCCAGAGCTGTTGGGGGACCCCCACTCACCCCCCTTTTCCAGCCCTTTTTGTGAACATGCAGAAAGGGAGAGGCGAGCTGGGAAAACCTTGGCCCCGCTTGCATAGCAGGGTCAACGTGTGAGCAGCTCCACCCGGCGGAAAAGCCGCGTGGAACATAAAAATAATAAAATCCATCCCCCGAAAACTTTGCCGTTGTTGCGCAACGGGCAGCAACTCCTCCAGGTTTGGAAAGTAAAAGCTTGATCGCCTTGAGGCAAGGAAGCCAGCCAATGAAGAAGAAAGGACGGGCTTTCCCGCGAATGTTTCTTTCTTTTTTTCTTATCTTTCTAGTTGCAACTTTTTCCACCCCTCTAAAATGCAACTTTTTATTTTATTTTATTTTATTTTTTGTTTAAGAAGTGCAGCTCCTAGTTTGTGTTGTGACATGATGCAACTCCAGGCCTGCCAGGAATGAACTATTTTTTTTTCCCCCCAGGGGATTCATTTGGAAAAGACCAGAGTCTCTTCTGCTTTTGGGGGGGTGGGGGGGGCTGTTAATGTAGCTTTGAGCAGGCCAGAGCTTCCTGATTGGGAGTTGGGAGCGAGGATGACCTTCCTCCGCTTCACCAGAGCTCTTGGAATTGTATTTGCTTTTCTGGCTGGCAGAGATAGTGAAAGTCTCCCTTAACTTTTGTGCTTCCCTGGACGGTGTGGTCTGGCACCGTAGTTGCGGTGTTCGTTTTGGGGGTGCTTGGATGGTTTGGATCTAATGAAACCTCAGACTGTCTGGGAAGGAATTGTTTCAATTAGAAGAGACTCTCGGTAGCTCAGGGTTGAAAGGTTGGGGTCCTTCGTGGTCTCTGAGCTTGGTGGGTTTCTTGGAGACGTTTTCATGACCCAGCGAGGGAACATCATCAGGGCTGGGATGGAAGGAGGAGAAGGAGGACTACTACTTTGAGGTCCTTGGTGTTCTCTGAATTTGACTATTGTCTTGCAGGCGTTTCATAGCCCAACTAGGGAGCATCATCAGTGCTAGAACGGAGTGGAGTTTGTGGAGGAGGAGGAGGAGGACTATTGGGTCCTTGATGGTCTCTGAGCTTAGTGGCTTTCTTGCAGACGTTGCGTAGCCCAACTAGGGAACATCATCAGTGCTGGGAATGAGGGAGGAGAAGAAGTTCTTTGAGGTCCTTGGTGCCCCCTGAGCTTGGTTGTTTCCTTGCAGACGTTTCATGACCCAACTAGGGAACACCATCAGTGCTGGGAGAGAGAGGGGTGGAGGAGGAAGACGACTTCTTTGAGGTCCTTGGTGCTCTATGAGCTCGATTATTTTGGAGGAGAAAAGGAAGGAAGGAGGCAGGTGGGGAAGGACGAGAATTGTGCTTGCTGCTCTCTCAGCTTGGTGATTATATCCTTGCAGACGTTTCACGACCCAGCTAGGGAACGTCATCAGTGCTAGAAGGGAACAGAATTTGCAGAGAGGAGGAGGAGGAGAAGGATTGTGGGGTCCTTGATGGTCTCTGAGTTTTTCTTTGCTTTTTTTCTTCATTCCCTTCATTTCCTCCAACTAAGTAACTTCAGAATTGTTTCCTATTGCTTGTAGTTTGAAGGGATAACATACAATTGTATCTCCTGCTTCTAAGCCACGGTCCCTGGTGACCTTCTATCTATATAGTAACAGGAAAAGTCACTTTGTATACGAATATTTGTAGATTCACATCCATTCTTGAGAATGGCCAGCCTTTGCCATATTTCTACTTTATTACTATAGGTCTTCGGAAATCATATACAAAGAGGGTGGGTTTCAGGCAGCTTGCTTCTCTGGAAATCTGTATTTTCAGTGTTGTTTTTTTTTGAGGTTGATGTGCCATGCATGTTGATGTATCAGGTTCTTGGCATATTTCTTGGGAAGTTTCCTTTATTTCGTTGGATTCCGTATTTGTTAGATTTATGTCCGATCCCTCAGTCCTAAATGATTGGAATTGAAGTCTTTTTTCCTCTTAACAGAATAGAATAGAATTCTTTTATTGGCCAAGTGTGGTTGGACACACAAGGAAATTGTCTTGGTGCAAATGCTCTCAGTGTACATAAAAGAAAAGAGACATTCGTCAAGAATCATCAGGTACAACACTTAATAATAGTCAGAGGGTACAGTAGGAATAGGAATAGAATAGAATTCTTGATTGGCCAAGTGTGATTAGACAAGGAATTTGTCTCCAGATGCATAATCTCTCATTTGTCAGAGTCAAGAATCATCAGGTGCAACACTTAATGATAGTCATAGGGTACAATCAACAATCAAATCATACTAGGAAACAGTCAATATAAATCGTACTGATACAAGTGACAAAGTTGCACTCCTACAGTCACAAGTGGGAGGCGATGGGAGATAAGGAGCAATGAGAAGGTTAATAGTGATAGTAGTGCAGGCTTTGTAAATAGTTGGGTAGTGTTGAGGGAATTACTTGATGGCGTTTGGGGAAAAACTGTCCTTGTGTCTAGTTGTTCTGGTGTGCAGGGCTCTGTAGCGTCGTTTTGAGGGTGGGAGTTGAAACAGTTTATGTCCGGGATGTGAGGGGTCCGTAGATATTTTCACAGTCCTCTTTTGGACTCATGAAGGATACAGGTCCTCCATGGAAGGCAGGTTGGTAGCAATTATTGTTTCTGCAATCCTAATTCCTCTCCGGAGTCCGTGTCTGTCCTGTTGGGTTGCAGAACCGAACCAGACAGTGATAAGAGGTGCAGATGACAGACTCCATAATTCCTCTGTAGAACTGGATCAGCAGCTCCTTTGGGTAGTTTGAGCTCTCTGAATTGGCGCAGAAAGAACATTCTTTGTTGGCCTTTTTTGATAATGCTTTTGATGTTAGGTGTCCATTTTAGGTCTTGTGAGATAATAGAACCTAGAAATTTGAAGGTCTCTACTCTTGATACTGTGCCGTCTAGGATTCTGCAACCACAGCGTGTAAGGCGGTTTAGGCTGAGAGCTAAAAGTCACCCAATGATGATCTGTGCCTGAAGCCAAGATCTAAACCTAAGATTTCTCCAGGGAAGTGGGAAAGCCAGATTCACTTAATGACCGAGTCACTGGCTTAACAGTGGCAGTGACTGATTCGCTTGTCGAACGTGGCAAG